TAACGCTCGTAAATACACGACCACCCTCTGGCGTATCTCGCTGCGTCCTCGTCGATGTACAAATAATTACGCGTCCGCGGTGATCCTCGTCATTAAGCGGGCCGGTTACGCGTAGGCAGCCATAAATTCTCCACTTACATAATTCGCGGATCGGCTTGTTTACGAGACCGCTCGCTCTCTCCAGCGACCGCCTGCGAGCGTCCTAGATGCGTTCGAGCAGGCGTCACCGCGTCATCGAAGATCGGCGGTTTTAAACCATCGATCGGTATTAAGTGGGCGGGACTCGGTTGGATGTTGCTATCGAGATGAAGTCTCGAATGCGGACATTTAATTGACGGGTTCACCGCGTCGATCATTTTGAGCGTTTCGTGTCATCATTTGGTAACGAGGAATTAGTAGAAGATAATAAATCGATCTTCATTTCTCGAAACTCCGAAGTATCACTTGCATTATAATGGTACAATTTCTAGAGACTTCTAGAATACAGATACCAGTAGAAAATGAAATTATCTAGAATTCAATAAACATTTTGACGTAAAACTATAAACTCTAGTATTTAATCCTTTGCAGTCGAAAGTTTTTCACTGGAAATATTTAACATTTTCCGACGAGATACAGACGACGTTGTTCGAGACTAATTTAACGATAATTCGCAGATAAATTAATCGACGAGGCTAGTTTATTTAAATATTTCCTGTAGCAATACAAAGTTTCATTGAAAATACTAAATATTCAATTTCATAGTTTTGCTGCATCAAATCAAGCGGTGACTGAGTCACCTCTCGAGTGCAAAGGGTTAATGTTGAACTTTATAATACCTTGACACGTGAAATATTATAAACAAAACAGCTTTGTTCCTCAATATACTCCCGATTTCCCTTCGAGTTGATTTCATAGAATCTTCTCGTCAGAAAATGTTAAACACTTCTAGTGAGAAAATTCCGAGTGCAAAGGGTTAGAAGGGCGGACGAGCATAATGCGAACACCCTGTACAACGATTACAGGCGACCACGTACCCCCACGGTGTCCGTTGTTTGCCGAAACGGCTCTGATCAGCGGGACCCGGTAAAAAGAAGAAAAAAACTAGATTGGGGGAGGGATCTCGAGTTTCGTGATTTAGCCTCGCGACGCGAAACACAAAGGGTCGGCCGATATTAAACCGAAGGAGAAACAAAGGCACGGCTCGGCTCCGTCCGCGGGGGGATGCGGAGAACGACGGTCCCTCGGGAGAGGATTACCGGGGCCCACGAGCCGGGGATTACTCGTATGGGGTGGCTAACGGAACACGGAGCTGATTGAGAACATCCCTAATACGTCGCGACAGATTCCATCCGCCCGTGTGCAGCCCCAGTCGGTCTGTCCTGCTCGGTTTCCCTCGGTCTCCTCCTCTTTCTCTCTCGGGACCGCGGTAAAATCGAGCAACGATCGGGCCGTCCGCAGACGTCGCATTTTCTTTCCGCAACCGGTAAGCCGATATGATTTTTTTCTCCTGCGGACGTCGAGCATCCCCTTTTACCACGGTTACTTCATAGACGCTGTCCCGATGGAATGTTGCGGTTGCTAGGAGAATAATGTTTAACACGTTCCGTGCCACGGAAACTTCGGTTACCTTTGCTTATGAACTGTATTGATTTAAGTAAAATAATAAGTTATATTCAGGTATTTGATGATATTTTTGGAATATGATATTATTTCTTTATGTGTTCACTGCTCTCTAACGTATACCACTATCCGTGACCACGTATCCATTAAAAATATTTTCTTACAGAAATTAGCGTGTACCATAGGTGGTACACGTGGCATGGAACGTGTTAAGGAACGTCTGAAGTTGACGCATATTGAATTTTATAAATATTACTTGATAAGTCTCCACGTTGAGTTCGATTGAACCAATTTTTAAGAAGAGAATAAAGCGTGCGATAAATGTTCGTAAACCTAGTGTTGACACTAAAACTATCGAACGTGTCAAAATGACGCATCCCAGGTTTCTTCCTTTCGCGATTATTAAGAACAGCAGATGCTTATTAAGAAACTAATTTCGCAATATGCAAATTGAATCATGAATCAATTAAGACCTTAGTAGATGCACTCTTGAAGTTTCTATAAAGTTTCAAAAAGTCAATTTCAGTGCTCGGTAGTTCTAGTGTTAATCCCTCGAAGATGTCTCGAGGATCTTACCAGCAATCGTGTTTAGGAACATCAGGTATTCGAAGTTGGATATTTCCCTCCGCTGCCACTTCTGCGTCATGTTCGAACTTCGCATCAGCTGTCTGGGCGACATCATCGATGCCCTCCTGTGAACAGTGCGACATTTATTATTTTTATCAGCCGCAGCGATCGGGTGATTAATCAACCTGTGTTTTATTGGAAATAGTAGTCCATGGTCGAACTAACCAGCAGTTCTTCTAGGAAGCGATCAATTCTATCGATGACAGGACGCTCCGCTTATTTAAGCCCCGCGAGATATAATTGCTCCGGAGGAACGCGAGTTCGTAAAGAATCAGCCGCGACTGCTCCGAGCAATTACGATGACAGTCGTTCTCAATTCGTGAAATCTATTACGTCAAGACGCGGCTCGGTGCTTTATGTTCACGCCGTAAAACTGGCCGGCCGGTTTTACGAACGGCGAGATCACTGATTTAGGATTTATACGGGAGACTTTAATGGGCGTACACGCTGGATGATATTAAAGGAGGGCGGCATGCGACGACGACCGGATATATAAATTCCGGGGGTGCACGAGCCGCGCACAAATCTTTCGGAACTATGAAAAACATTTTTACAATTCGCGGATGACGGGAAAGGACGGCGGGGGCTAGGCGTGCGTCCGCCATCGCGGCGGCATTTCGCCCGTCGCGCTCGCGTTCATACATTTACACCTTTCAAATCGAATTTCTAATAAAATTCAATGAATCTCCTTCTCCAAAATCGATGGTAGTACAATTTTCTTATGTATCGAAACCATCATTGACACAGCTAATGACACGTGTACAGCTTTTACGGCTAAAAGTCCCGAATGAACGGCAGAAAATTCAAATTTCGAATTCCCCTTTCGCTGGATCTGGATTCTCACCGGTCTCATGGGTTTTCCAGTGTGATCGATACGGAGGCACATTCATTTTTCCGCCCGAGCGTTGCGCAGGGCGTCACGACGCGGATGCACGTTTTATATGCCGTGGAATTATTTTTGCTGGCCAGGAATCTCCCTCGGATCAGACGTCGGAGTCGGCCTCCGTATATTTATGGCCGGCGTATCCTTCTCGCCGACTCTTTCGTGTATAGGAGCGCTTTAATGGATGGATCGAAGCGTGGATACGCGAACCTCTGTTCTCGCCGCCTGTCCACGTCCAGCTGCGGGAGTATTGGTCTCGGGAGAGGATTCCTCTCCTCCGGAACACGCTGAGGACTCGAAGACGCGGATCTACACGATCGTTTCCAACGATCGCCGATATCCTTCTCCGTATTCGCGATTCTAATCTCTTCCGCGAATTAGTCGCGCCACGTCGGTCGTTTTATTCGTTGGCTCACTTCGGTATACCATTGATCATCCTCTAATATAATACAAACGTATCAACCGAAACGCACGAAGATCCGGTCTCGGAGGATAAATGTAATCCGTAAATACTCCATTGTCTTTTTCGAACGGCAGGAATTTCAATCGGCCGCGATAACCGATCCATAAGAACGACACAAGGAAGTCATTCGTCATCTGAAATCTCGGGGAACAAATTTCTCAATCGTTACGGGGACCGTGAGTGTACCGACAAAAACGTCTATTAGTCAATAACGTCGACGGATCCATCGTCGCGACGCATTCCTAGCGTGTTATGCCATCTGCCCGGCGAACTTTTCAATAACTATCCGCGCCCGTTTATCGTTCGATCTGGTAGCATGTTAGTCCCGGGACAAGAAAGTCCTAGATCCGATCCTGATCGCGATCGGAATCCCGCGGACCGGGGGGACAAAGAAAGAGCGGAATGCGAGAAGCGTGTTCCAGGGTGCAGCCGAGGCCGAGGGATCCCTAGATCCAGATGTTGGCGAAAGGGGTTTCGGTTGTTTGCAGTCGGTCCTTACCTAGTCTGCGGAATCCCGTATTTGATGCCCACGCCGACTCGCGGTAGCGCCTTGATCACCTTTTTCACCGTGGCCTGGTCCGGGAACGCGAACAGGATCGAGGCTGCGGACAAAAAGGCGTTAAAGCGCGGATTATAAGCGGGCCCAATTTCGTGGACGGTTCGTGTGTCAATCATTCGGAGGGATGGCAGGCAAGGACGAGTTTCTTACTCGCATCGCCGGCTTGGACGGTCCTGCTTCGCGCGGGATTCTTTCGACGCGTAATCCGCGCGCCATAATTCACTTCGCATGCTCGAGTTTATTAATTAACGCGCTCCTTTTTATTTTATTCCTCGTCTCATGCGGTGGAGAATATTATTGAGGCAGGGTCCCGATCTCTTGGAAAGAGATACGATTCGCCGATCCGAGTGCAATTAATTCGATGAGTTAAGAGTTCCGTCAATTGGATAGGAGATAACGATCCTTTCACTCAGGGCGAAAAGTTAAATGCGGAAACGCGGAGAGAGGATACATGGACTTAATTTCATGGGTTTAATAGCATCGGCCGGATCGGTTAAAGCTCCCTCGAGAGTTCAAAGGGTAGCGTGCAAAGCGACAGTTACCATAAATACATGTGAGTAATTTATGTAACCCCGAATACAGCGGCGGTATATACGAGTCGGTCTTAATCAAGGAAGAAGGAAAGTAAAAGCCGGCATCACAGAGAGACGCCAGAATCAAAGGATATTCGAACCCTGGCGTCGTCTTTGTCCTTTTGAGCATTCCCGGGAACATACGGTAAAAATCTGCGATGATGACGTTCTTCGGGGACATCTTCCTTTGATACGGTTCTCTATGAACGCCGACAAAGCGTAATTACCGACATAAATAGCGGCCAATTAATATCAGACTCGATTTACAATCTCTTATTGGAGAAAAAGGTGTGAATCGCCGTAGAAAGAAGGAATCCCGCGTGTGACTATCATTGTCGCTTAATCGTCTATTGCGTTATAAACTCGGAAATGCCACCGACATAAACGTGGGACTCGTAAAGATACGGGAATCAAAGGTACAAGTAAGAAGCCACGCCATTTGATCTGAATTATATCGCGTTACCCCGCGACGAAGAAGACTCCGCATTCTTCCAGCGTGTAACACGAAACGTACGCGCATAAACTAAATAACTTAACTGCCCCGTGCGTCCGGACGATTAAGGCTGGACATCGGCGTCGTATGTCCGACAGAAAAATCGTCGTAACGATCATTGTCGCGAATCCCGGTTCCGCGGGGATCGGAAACGGGACGATTTTTCAGCGGCCGGGATCGAGATCCGTTGGGACACCGTTGTCCCGTAAAGATCCGTGAAAGTTACAGCGCGGTGCCGGGTATAAAGTGACTCGGCCCGTAATTTCTTTTTATTGTTCGAGGATTTATCGCGGCCCCGAGCGTGGCATTTTACCGGTCCCGTTAACGAACGCGCGCGTTTCCAGTAATTTTTTAATGAACGGCCCGTGGGCCCGGCCACGCAGCCACCGCGACATTCCGCCGGCGAACAGCTCCACGACGCATCGAATGTCGGGGATCAGATTAGAATCGAGGAACGGCCGCGGCGGGAATTTATCTGCGCCCGTGGAGAAATAATCAGCGGGATTGCGGGGCCCGCCGGGGCCCAGGTATAACTGATTCTCCCACGTTTGTTTCAACTATATACGCGCGGCCGACGATCCTCTTCGCAGGGACAACTATATTTCAAGGGAATCGCCCGATGCTTAACCGGCCGCGGTGGAATGTTTTAACACCTTACAATGAAATCGAGATAACGAACCGACGTCGTTTCCTCTTTTCCTCTGCTTTCCGTAATGTCGCTGTGTAACGAGCGCCAGGACTTTATGTCCTTCGCGGTGCGAGAACGCTGGAGAGTTTAACGATGTTCATTTAGAAAGCATTATTCGCCGCAAAACGGTTCTACGATCTTCGATATAATAGGAAGAGTCGGGCGTTGATTTCTTAACTCGACTTAATCGCTCTGGGTGTGTTTATTTTTTTATGAAGAAAGGAGAAAATCTTATTAGGATCGTATCGAGAGTGAAGAAAGAATCGTACGTGTACATTGGACGGATTAATTCTCAGTGAATCGAATCTCAGAAGCGAGGGATTAATTGTTTAAGGGAACCAAGAGTAACGTGCGCTATTGAGAAAGGCGAAATCGTATACGCACTCGAACAATGATAGCGAAAGAATGGAGGAGAGCAGGTGTAGCTGGGACCGACCGATAGATCGCGAAAAAAGGGACGGCGTAATGCGGAGCAGATATTTATTACGTAAAAAGCGCACGGGGGCGCGCAGCCAGCGGCGAGCTCCGGATTCCGTTTCCATTTTGCCAGATTAGATCGCGTCGTGTGAAATAATGCAGAATGGCACGGCCGATCGAGCAAGAAACGGAATGCGCGACGAAACCCGCCGCCCGGGCTCCACGGAACCGATCCTCTTTTGAAAACGAACGAAACAAATCGCACGACTCACTTCTGCTGGCCAGGAAGATCTCGATGGCCACATTCTGGAGCAGATAGCGGCGGGAGAAGATCGCTCGGACCTCCGAGAAGTACCATTTTCCGTGCAAGTGGTCGCAATATTTGAGTACCTGTAACAAAAAAGGAAACTTCCGTTAATGCAATTACAGTATCTGGAAACGCCGCTTAATCTTCATCCAATGGATGCTAATAATTGGACACATCCGAGAATCTCGCCGATAAAAACATCAGTTTATTGGAAAAGTGAGCGGGAAGAGTAGAAATCAAGATTTTTAATCGCGATAAGGTTTTAATTAACTGCGCGGTTAAAGGCTGGGAAAGTCGACGGCCAATTTTCTTGTTGGAATTTATGCTTATTCGTTGCGCAAGGAACACGAAGGAAAAACGAATAGTTATCGATACGCGATGCGATCAATTAATTAGCAATTTTACGCATATTCAATGCACTTCCTGAAGACGCGAGTGACGTCCAGATGCATGGATTAATTGAAGTTTACGGTGTCGGACCTGAGACCAAAGTTTCCATCCTTCGAGCATCGACAACCGTGTCAATTATATTCTTCGCGGACATCGCGAGAGGATCCATTGATCTAGCGACGACGAATATCTCTATGCCCGAGAATGTTCCGGTGGTAAGTCCGATGGCCAGCGACCGGAAGCGAGGCGGTACTTTCACCGGGGTAAGATTCGAGGAACATTGAGACGGTACGTAGCCGGGGTGCGATCGCATGGCTGACTGTAAGTATGCAACCTGGATGCAGTGAAGTGTGATGTGATATAGTGAGACCAGTGCCGGTTGCAAGATGGCCGTCATGGTAGGAGGAGCCTCCTGCTGAGCCGGGAATCGATCCCAGGACTTCGCGGGCTTGCGCTCTCGAACGAGTCGTGAACAACTCGTAGGCGAAAAGGGGGAGGCAGGAAAAGGACGAGGCGCAAAGGAGGAGGAAGAGGACGCAAAGGACAAGACAAAAGAAAGACAGAGGCCCAATTTACCGCCCTACGACCGACACAGGCCTTTCAATTTTTCCCTCTTAATGAGCAGCCGACGAGGACGACGCCGCCGTCGCGATGTCCTTACGCGCGGCCAATCGAATTATCCTCGATATAATACGGCCGAACGAGCCGATTCACGGGAATTTTTGGGGAAAGGCCAATGAGATCGTATCTGTCGCCGCAGCGACCATTGACATTCTTGATCGCGCCGGTGATAAGTCTACATTATCAATATGTCCTTGAGAAACGAAAATAACAGGCTGAGAAAGAGCCGTCTAATCGTTAATATTATACAATTTATTCGAAAGGCCGCATTCTACTGAAGATCTTTATACCTTAGACTGGAAACTAACGATTTATTCGATTATTCCCCGCAGCTGCTTCCAATGAAACATTTGATAATGTATTCTTTTTTTGCAACTCTCGCATCCAGGGAAAAAGTTCCAGCGAATGTATAATCGCGACTGTCCAGCCACTCCAGCTGCCTAAATACAGAGGAGTATTAAATAATTCATACGCAGAAATAACGGGGGAGAAAATCGATGGTAAAGAGAATTCGATGCGACGAAGTGTATGAAACGCGAATGAAAAGGGCTCCGTGACCGAAAGCAGGATCGGCGAGCGTACCCTACGAGTCATAGGAGATCAAGTAACTACGAGAGATGACACTGGGGTGGTAGCTGCGGGGCACGCATGTTGAAATCTAATTACAGGAACATAAGCGGCTCGAAACCTCCGGGGACCATAAACGTCGTTGTCAACTCCGAGGGATTAAGTCAGCGCGTGCTGTTTGTATTAATAATTCCTCGTAAGAGTTTTTAATTTCATCGCAACGAATTGGTCGTCAGAATTTCTGCCAGTTACAAATCGCAAGACGCATCTCGAACAATTAAAAAATGCAAACTTTATTCAACAAACTACTAAAGAGATAATAATAGGACAAAGTTCGATAGACTCTATTTGTAAATTAAAGTTAAACGCGGAATGTTGATATTTAAAAGCGCCTCGCAATTGCTTCGGCGCGACAGATCGTGAAAGTGAAGAGCAGGGGGTGGCAACCGAGAGCCAACCCCTAAGCCCGATTGCGCAAGCTCTCCGCAAACACTGCGTGAAGCTGATAAAAGCTGTGTCGTGATACGGCATTCGTTGTTTGGATGTGATCGTGATACAGATACAACACGTACGGTATATCATACTGATTCACGGTGGTTGTTGGTCTCTTGATACTACCGGCGACTATTAATTTCCCGCGGCAAGTACATCAATTCTCTAAGCCGTTCTTTATTAGAGGGTCGCACGTATATTTCATGAGAATCGAGTACCCATAACTACCGAAAGAACCGCAGTAAATATCAAACGCAAGTGGATGAATCTACCTCTCACATTTCCCTTTGCACTTTCCAATTACCAGTTCAAACAATTCCGCTTCCGACCCCGATCGGCCCGAAAGCAGCCGGACCAATACAGATCCAGCCGACTATCAAAATCAACGCGTCGGAGTGTTCAGAGGCGAAATAGCTCACCGGCAAACTCCTCGCTCTGTATCAACAGCGATGTATAAATAGTCGAACAGCACTCAGCGAGTGCGGAGCGATAAGTGTACGAATGAGCTCTCCGAAATGACACCCCTGCGCGTCTGCGAGAAGGGAGCAGCGGAGAGCGTCAGCCACCGGTCTCGCGCGACTAATATGTTTACACGTTCGATGAACCGTGGGTGCTTCTAGCTGCGGCCGAGGGGAGGGGCTCGGTTAAAAAGAGATCCAGCACCGGTGGAAGTGTCAAGTGGTGCGCGCGATTAGTGTTCCCCGTGCGGCGTTCATCTCTCGACCCGACCGAAATCGTGCCGACTCTCAGCGGCGCGGCCGGGGTTTCACGACGACAATGGGGCGTCGTGATGTAACAACATGTGTCGCGTTCACAGGGCCCCCTCGCTGGCTGCCACCTCTATGTACACCATAGGGCACCATAGAATGGGGACCACTTAGCAGCCCGCCGGCGGTATACAACAAACAGATTAAGCGCCGGACAATAATAGACCCCCCGTCCTCTCCGGCTTCTCTCTCGTGGCCGTCTACAAGGACCCTCTGGGCCGATCCTCTTCTTCCGAGTGCGAACCACTCGAAATCACGATAGCTCGTGGCAGGGAGCGGAGCCGCGCGGGGCGCGCGGGGCGCAGCTCGGTTTGGTTTATTCGATTTCGGTGTACGAGCAGCTCCGTAGTGGGCCGATCATTAATTACGGTGCACCGCGGCGCGGGAAACCAGCCGCGGGAATTTTACGAGAAGCTCCTTTTGGAAACTTGTCGCCGACCGGCACGACCGTGTTTCAAGCGAGTTTACTATCCACGAGGGTAACGGGGATACGCGGCCGGTGATTGGTTGTAATTGGGGGAAGTGAATCATTGACGAAACACCGGGGCTATCGGTTTCTAGTTAAAACTCCGCGAGACGTTTTTTCCGGTTGCGCGCGACGCAATGAAGAACTGACGCTTCTGGAATTTATGGATCGTAAATGCTAGCGCTCATGAGCGTATACACGCGCGACCGGTTGACGTTAATTGTGAGCGCGATCGGGAATCGCGGATGACTTGATTTATCGTCGCGCTTCATTTTTATTTCATGTCCGCTGCGTTTTTGCGAGTGTTCTTGCCTTGCGAGGATTGCACTTGGTGTTCCTTCGCGATGGAGGCCGACGATCGAAACGTAGGAAGGAAAATTGCTTGGCAGGTGAACGGGGTTATATTAATGTTATTGTAATGTTCAGTAGACTAGAGCTCTTAAAATAACTTGAAAATGTTCCCTAGATCCCCAGACACGAAAGGTGTTGAAAAGATGGTCCATATAAATTCAGAACCGCGGTCGACGCGCTGCCATAAGCAACACAAAGCGTTCGGTTGCGTGAACACGCCGGATGGGAACAAAACGTTCGGGGGGCCATCAAGAGGATCCCGAGCGACAATGAGTTATGCGTGCCACGTGCGTGTTCTCATACCTTTATTACCGTATCTCGCACGAGATAGCCCATTGCGGCGTCCGGCGTACAAAGAGCTGCCAGCGGTGCATCGAGCGTCGTTGCCCTTATTAAACGTTGAATTTCCTGGCTACCAGTCGGAGAAAAAGGTGTCTAAACCGGCGTACGTACACAGTCAACCCTTAAGGAGTACAGGCCTCGAGTACCAGACCCGGAATGTGGATCTCGCGAAGCAGACGTCGTTAGCCGGTGAACGAAAGTAATTGGACGGAACGAGCCGAGTTAATGGCGCTCGGTACACGCCGAACGACAATGTTTCCTCGTTTGATTAACCCATATCCGAACGACTTTGATGCGATGAAGCAGCGCGATTTGTTTTCAGAAATAAAGAAAACTGATAAACTCCGGCGATGAGAGTAAGAGCGAAGTGTTCATTTTATCTAAAGAACATCATGTTATTCCATGAATTCTGTTACTCGTCGGCGGCTTCGAATCGTCCAGAATATTGCATTCAGAAATCCATTCCTTGATACCTTATAATCGCGATGAAACCTTTAACAACGCAATGAATTTCTAGAGAAGAACTCATTTTATGCGATCGAAGGACATTCGATTTTTCCAAATTCTCCGCGTGGCCGACTTCCAATGGGAACTGGTACTCCGGATCGAATCGCAGTATGGAAGATCCTTTCCTCTCGTATCATTAACCAAGGAAACCGTGAAATACGCACTGCGCCGTGGCACTTTCTAGTTTCGCCGGCTGTTGGAGCTCAACGACTGAGCCCTGGATTATAGGGGATTACGCGAGGATGTTCATTCGAGCTGATTTACAAGGCCGACTCGATCCTGGGCCGACGTTCGCGTCGGTTTCGGGTGGCTGGCAGCGAGAGACGTCGCTGACGTTGTTGTTCCCTCGCTGAAAACGTTACACAATAAGGAGACACCACGCAACAGGGTCTTTCTACCTGCCCGCCACGTGAAAGAGAGGCCCGAAGAATGTTTTGGCAGAATGCATTTGCCTAGGACTGCTCCTTTAAGCGAACTGGATACCACAGAGACTACGGCAGGACTGATCGGCCTATTAGATATACTCGAGTGGGGGCGAATTCGATAGAAAATTCCCCTTGTAAGTTATTCGGGATACACGGACACGCTGCGAGTCTTCTTCGCCGTAGAAAAAGGGAATAACTAGGTTTGTCGACTCAAATTCTAGAGGAGTTTGTTTCGTAGCAAATCGAACTGGTTGGCGAAGAAAACCAACGGGTATATTATAATCTTTTCGAATAACGCAAGAATATCACTTCGATAGAATTTCTGTTCGATACTGATCCGCAGGGTGGATACGATTGTGTCGAACAACAAGCTCCCCTATCTTCAGATGAAAGATGGTCTCGTGGAAGGCGTCATCCCGAAACCGAACCTCAGGTATCTTCTCGTGGGTGTACAAATAATTCAGATGATAAACGAATTAAGTCGAAATGGGATGATGAAAGGCATGTTTAGGGCGGTAGGAGAAGGCCTGCACCCGCATTAATGCGAGGGCTGATGTAGCAGAACGTTTGACCCCTCGGTCCCTTGCGCGAAAACATCGCGCGAGACCGAAACGGGGCTAGAGACGGAGGGAGAGAGACGCACGTGCTCGACTCATGAATCAAGTCGTATTAGTGAGGGCACAGCAAGCCTGGTGGGCACCAATCTACCACTCCAACTTCAAGTAGATTGGATTTCTGAACTTTATTCAATTATCCGTGAACGAGGCGGGCAAAACGAGCAGCGGCGCGCGCCGTTGTGGGCTTTCCGCGAATAATTCTGGCAACGCGTGCTCTTGCCGCACATTTTCAAGCGTGAAACGTTGCACACTCAAAGGACTAGTGTTCCGTGAACATGTTTCTGAAAGATCGAAATTCTAAAGCACCAGGTATTTCTTCGGTATAAATCAAAACATATTTCTGAGGATTTAACCTCCCGTTGAGATTGTAATCCTCTTCTTACGGAGTCGCCATCTTATTGTCGTGCCGGCGACTCCGGCTAGCCCCTTTTCTACAGACCTTCTCTTCGCTTAACAAACAAGGCCCTTTCTTGTTGAAGGTTCATCGAAAATAATGCCTTCAATCTATACTAAACACAATCGATAAACATTGAAGGGAAACCTATACTCTTCGAAGCCTGTTCTGCTATAACCGATGCAATATAAAAATTCTATGAAACTTCATTTTAACTTATTCTTCCTTCTTTACACTGTCGAATACGCTGTAAAAGCGCAAGCAGCTGCACTTTGTTTATAAGATACTCATGTTTTAAGTATATCCTTCAACGACCAATAATCGATCGTGAAAAAGTAATTTTCAGAAGACAAGTACCCTTCGAAATATAAAATTCTGATGCGCGTCTGCGGTAAGCCACGATTCACACAGAAGGAACCTCTCGGTGCTACCGGATAACCAAGGAAACCACCCTTAGCCACCGACATCAAAGACGGGGACAGCTCCCGCGGGCCATAAAGCGATGGCGCGTCTCTAGATTTCCCTCGATAGTAAAAGGGTTAAAAAAAAAAGGTTCGCCGGAAGAAAGACGACCGTTCCGCGCGGAGGCTGTTATCTTGGGGATCTTATGGGAAAAATGTTCGATGTATGGGGGATATCTTGGACGGTTATCGATGTGTTCGGACAGGTATTCTCGTCGCGAGTTTTTACGATCGAGACATAAAAGGGGGACATCGGCGTGCGTTATGTCTTCCAGCGCTAGATACTACTCGCCGAGGACATCTGGCATCGATAGCGCGCGTCAGCGTTACAGGCTGCGGGGGCTGTTCCTGTTCCGTGGACAAAGGGAGTGCTTCGCCACCGCGGTGACGGAGTCTCTGCTTCTTATTCGAATGTCGAATATTCAAATGACCCTTGCGACGGTATTATCGAAGCGAATAGTCGTGCCTGGAATCCTCATGCGACCCCATCGAGGGGACAATACGTTCTCCGGTGACATGTTTCTGTTCTGGGAATTCGTTCGCCGCCGAGTCGGGAAAGGGTGAGTCTATGTCTCTCGGTGGCTGTGACTCGTAGGAGTAGGTGGAAATCACGATCGGAATTGAATTGCGATTGGAATTTTCAAAATCGGTAGTCCTTCCATTGAATTATAGATTCTCAATTGGGGAGCAATACTAGTTAGAAGCACCTCCGTTTCGAACGGGATTTTTCATCCGTTCATAACGAATATTCTACTTCAACTCACAAGGTATCAAAACAAAAACATATTCGTTGTTCAATAAACAAGAATTTAGATTGCGATTAATTTTCTTTATACCCCCCAACCGAGGCGAAGGGGTTTAATGCCATCGCGTCGTTACCGCGCGTCGAGTGTTTATTATTTTTTGCAGCGCGCGTATATAATCGATGTCAAAACAATCAGACTAGATAAACAAATGAATATAAAAAGTGGGAAAGGGTACATCGGATCGAAAGGGTGAAAATGCGCGCGATGGTGTGTGCGAGGAGCGGCCCGGCGCGTAGCAGTCGAGTCGGTAGAGGAGGTAGGACAGGAGGCGTGGCGAGGACGCGCACGCTCCACGTGACCCTGTCGTTCTGGAAGGCGGGACTTTGGAGCCTGGTACACAACTACAAGGGCAGTTGGACGAGCCGGTGGTCACCGGTGCTCTCTCTGTCGTCGCGCGCGCGGAACACCTCGAGTTGCGCTCGTTCCACGTACAACACCTGCCGAACGGACGATTGCTCGCGAGTAACACGGTCCGTTGATCCGTGACTCCTTCTGGAAAGTGTCCTTCGCGGTCTTTCTCCGTCGATCGCCGCGCCGACAACGGTCAATCCAGTTTTCGGGGTAAAAAGGGAGCGGTAACCGAAACATGGACGGTAACGATATGTCCAGCAGGCTGCCTCGAGTCCACACGAAACAAGGAGCCTGATCGTATCCCAAAAACAGGTCGAAGGAATCTCGAGTGATCGTGACTAAACCGCCAGCAACATGTTGCTGCCCCAGGACATGATGGCAGCGCAGTCGAAGATGCTGTACCAAATGAACAAGTACTACGGTGAACGGGTGCAAGTCCGTATGGGCCAGGTACAGAAAACCATCCGCGAAGTGTGCAAGGTGGTACAGGACGTACTGAAAGAGGTCGAGGTTCAGGAACCCCGGTTCATCTCCTCCCTGACCGAGTGCAACGGCCGCTACGAGGGCCTCGAGGTGATCTCGCCTGGCGAATTCGAGGTGGTCCTCTACCTGAATCAGATGGGAGTGTTCAACTTCGTCGACGACGGCACCCTGCCGGGCTGCGCCGTGCTGAAGCTCAGCGACGGACGGAAGAGGTCCATGTCGCTCTGGGTCGAGTTCATCACCGCGTCCGGTTACCTGTCCGCCAGAAAGATCCGCTCGAGATTTCAGACGCTGGTGGCGCAGGCCTGCGACAAGTGCGCCTACAGGGACTCCGTCAAGATGATCGCGGACACCACCGAAGTGAAGCTGCGCATCAGGGAGAGATACGTGGTGCAGATTACGCCGGCGTTCAAGTGTTCCGGCGTGTGGCCTAGGTCCGCCGCCCATTGGCCGATCCCTCATATACCGTGGCCGCATCCGAATCTCGTGGCAGAGGTAAAGACAGAAGGATTCGACCTGTTGTCGAAGGAGAGCGTCGCTCTTCAGGGGAAACAGTCAGCCATGGAGGGCGACGCGTGGGTTCTATCCTTCACCGAAGCCGAGACGAGACTCTTGCAGGGTGGTTGTCGCAGAAGATGCCTGAGTATATTGAAGACACTGAGGGACAGACACCTGGATCTTCCCGGCAATCCAGTGACCAGCTACCACATGAAAACCTTGTTGCTCTACGAATGCGAGAAGCATCCTCATGAAACCGAATGGGACGAAGGATGCCTGGCGGACCGTATCAACGGCATCTTTCTGCAACTGATATCTTGTCTTCAGTGCCGGAGATGTCCCCATTATTTCCTGCCCAATCTGGACCTGTTCAAAGGGAAATCGCCGAGCGGCTTGGAGAACGCCGCCAAACAAGTCTGGAGACTCACCAGGGAGCTACTGACCAACAGTCGAGCACTGGAGAAACTTTAGCCGGAAAGTTTACGGGGATGAAGAAGTTTTCTTTCTTGCAGAGAGGATTCGCGAGGTGGTTCGCGTGAATCACGCGCTCGGGATTACTGCTTTTACGCCGGCTCTTAACCCGCTTTTTATACTTGCCGTGAACGTGGACTGTCTACTTTCACCCGTTATTTTCTAATAGCAGCTTGACCGTATCGGGGTCCGGGAATGGTGTGTAACCAGCAATACTAGAGCCGTAGACTTTAATCGTTGTTTTCGTACGTGTTTGGTTAGTAAACGGCACGGACACGTCGGAGTTGGACTTCGATCATTGGTACAACCGCGCGTTCCGGGGTGCAATATCTTTCTCGAGGTTCTGTTTCGGCCGGGGGCACAATTGTTGCTAGGTTTTAGTTCGATCCTGCGCGATTTCGGAGTTGGAAATCCTTTTGTTAAATTCTGTTGATGGAATTTGGAAGCGTGACATTTGAAATTCGCCGCGGTTTCTTCATTTACGGACGAAGCTTTCGCTTGCTGCCGGAGCCTCGCGCTTATTAACGCAGATTAAACGGCGCTGGCCCGATTGTCTACACAGCATTACGATATACGAAACGATTAATTAACTGCTCTGTTAGCTACTCTTACCTGTTCAAATATGGCTGATGTGAATCGTCGTGTGATCCGTTGTCGTTATTAATCTAATGTTTATAATCGGTTAGCGGCGAGCTTCCGACGGTAGTTGGACACTACGCATTGTTATATGTACATACTTTTTTATATTATTTAAACGATATTTATTTTTACTCGAATCGCTGTTCGAACACATAATGTAAATAATTAATAAACGCATCTCGTCTCGTATCAAGTATCCAAGTCACTCGAACAACCCTTTAATCGCCTAAAAGAATTCCTGCACCGTCAAAGCAACACCGTGATCTACAAAATAAAGATTCTACGGTCCTCTAGAAACCCCATGCTCCATTTTCATTATTACCGTGCTCCGATATAATCTACAACAATTTCCCCCTTGAATCAAACATTTGTATCAATCGAAAGCATCTATAACCTGTCGAGTTTACATTACAATCTACTCAAATCTCTTCACGCGAGTCCCAAACTAAATTAAATGTACAGCACTGCAACCATCAAAAGATATTTGAACCATGCAAACTGAACAGAAAGGGGAGAGTCACTTAGTAAACGAAACGAACGAAATAAAATGAACAGATGTCCAAGTAGCGCGCCGCGGCTTGTAGGATTTATCTCGATAATTGCCATTATGACAGTCAATGAAACGCAGATCATTTTTCGTGTGGCCAGTTAAGGTAACCCGGTGATGCGCACGGGGCAAGAATATAAAACCATCGGGACGTAATTATTATCTACGATATTAACACTTCCATATGCGTTCGGGGAGATTGAAACGCCTCGTCAATGCATCGCTACCGAGTTTCATGGCCACTACACGCCTACGAGGACCGTTCCGGGCTTATCTTAATTCTCCCCTGAAATTTCGTCGCTTATCTCTCCACGCTGCAACGGCCGGCTCGTTCGCCGGTGCCACTCAGTTTCCACGCGGTACCACGCGGCCGATCGTTACGGAGTTTACGTTATTATTATTGCCCCGTAAAACAAAGTGAGAGGAAAGCGTCTCCACGAGGGAACGCGCGACCCAATGAAGCACACTTTACGCGCCGTATCTCGCAGTTCGCCCCGCGATTTACAAGCCTTAATGGTAGAGTTATCGGTGTTGTCGTTAAACGTAGATTTTATACCGACTTTTTTGTCGCTTGGACCGCGAGCCGGTTCTCAATAAAACGGCTGTAAATAAAACCGTCTCCTTTCCACGGCCCCCCTCCGGTACCGCCGGGCCCCTACTCCCGTTCCGATCGCGGACGAATTTCTTATTTTAGCGACGCGGGAATTCGACGCGAGCCCGCTACATTCTGCGACAAAGTTCTCGAGAAAGGGTGAATGGAGAGAAACCTTCGGACTGTTGGTATTCATCGGCGCTCCCGGATGAAAACGTGACTTGGAAATCGTTTCCTTCGATTGGACGGTTTTTTCTATTAATTGTTTGTAGTCTGCAAACCGCAGATTTCTTGCGTCACACCGCGCGCCAGTGCGTACAAGTGTACCACAAATACATAAGTTAACGACGGCTTAACATACTTATCTTACCCGCGGTCAAACGAAATCCTTAATGAAAAGTATAAATTACCAATTAATTCCGCAGTCTGGCGGCGAGGAATCCGTTTCTTCGTAATTTTTCTGAAGATACTCCAAAACCTGAAGATCCGTGAGCTTCGGTACACCCATTGGCACGATCTTAAGTTCTCAACCACCCCATAACAAGCGTCCAACGAACTGGAGTAGTCTAGTCCTCGGAGCTTCGCGTCGCAAGCTCCGAAGCGAGCCGAACACCATCGATCAAGTCACCGATCGATCTCGCGTAAAATCCCAGATCAGAATCGAACGCGTTGAAACGACGAGTAAAAATTCGCTTGTGATTCAGGGGCACCGGACCGTGAACCCCGGTTCGGGACCGTCCACCATCATAACGAAAATTTCGGAGCAGCTCGAAGGGGTTGCGGAGGAATGGCCGTGTGTCCACGAGCACGGAATAAAACGAGTCGAAATCTACATAATTCATGGGGGAAGAAGGGCTCGCTTTGGGGTTAGCCGCGGCTGCTGCCTTCGTCCTTCGAGCTGGATAACGTATAGCTAGAACGGAGCCGCGGATCGATCTTGTCGGTCTGGCGCGGCTGGGCCACGCCTCCCAAGTTTTGCAGCCGCGCGATTGGCCGAGCCGCGATGCACGTGGCGTGGCCACGGCTAAGTCTGGGTTAGGTCTCGCCTCGCAGCACGCCTTCGCCGGGTCTGAAGAGCGGGTGGCGCGGAGGAGGTTAACGACAGCGCAGTCGACAATCTGCTCCTGGTCGGAGTCGCTCGCACACCTTGTCCTCCCGCTTCTCGTTCGTGTCTCCGCCGGTGACCGGCGTTCTTTTTACAACGCGACGCGAAAAACCGCTCGACGAAACGGGAACAATCTTCCTCGCGTTTTCCAACCGATCGGAGTCTGTCCGACAACAAGCCAAGAAGACTCTAAATGGAAAAGCGTGACCGGTACGGCGAGTATCGTTGAACACTCCGAAAAGAGCCCGAATCGATCACGGATCTGCGGGTCAGAATGCGGTGATCGGTGAAGGAGATCTCGACAGAGAGGCCTGCGAGGGCTTCTGGCCGCCGCAACGATGCTGTTGCCGGCCGATATGCTGGCAGCCCAGTCCAAGATGGTCTACCAGATCAACAAGTATTTCGGGGAGCGGGTGATGACCAGGAAGAGCCAGGTGATGAAGACCATCCAAGAGGTGTGTCGCGTGGTGCAGGACGTGCTCAAGGAGGTCGAGGTCCAGGAACCGAGGTTCATCTCGTCCTTAACGGATTACAACGGAAGATTCGACGGGCTGGACGTTATCTCGCCCACGGAGTTCGAGATCGTGATATACCTGAACCAGATGGGGGTTTTGAATTTCGTGGACGACGGCACGTTGCCTGGTTGCGCGGTGCTCAAGCTGAGCGACGGTCGCAAGAGGTCTATGTCCCTTTGGGTGGAGTTCATCACGGCATCCGGCTACCTGTCCGCCAGGAAGATCCGTTCGAGGTTTCAGACGCTGGTAGCACAGGCGTGCGACAAGTGCGCCTACAGGGATTCCGTAAAGATGATCGCGGACACCACCGAAGTGAAACTACGTATCAGGGAGAGGTACGTAGTGCAGATCACGCCGGCCTTTAAATGCGCCGGACTCTGGCCGAGATCGGCCTCTCACTGGCCCATAGCGCACATACCTTGGCCTCACCCGAACATCGTCGCCGAAGTGAAAACTGAAGGCTTCGACATGCTGTCCAAAGAGTGCATAGGCCTGCAAGGCAAGCAGTCCGCCATGGAGGGCGACGCATGGGCGTTATCTTTCATAGACGCCGAGAATCGTCTGCTGCAAGGTGGCAGCAGGAAGCGCTGCTTAAGCATCTTGAAAACCCTCAGAGACCGACACCTCGATCTGCCCGGCAACCCGGTCACCAGCTATCACATGAAGACTCTATTGTTGTACGAGTGCGAGAAGCACCCTCACGAAATAGAATGGGACGAGACCTGTATCGCGGATCGCATCAACGGGATCCTGCTGCAGTTGATCTCGTGCCTGCAGTGCCGAAGGTGTCCGCACTACTTCTTACCGAACCTCGATCTGTTCAAAGGGAAGTCCCCCAGCGGACTGGAGAACGCGGCGAAACAAGTGTGGAGACTGACGAGGGAGTTGCTGACTAATAGTCGCGCTTTGGAGAAGCTGTAGACGAGAACTGCGGCCCACGCAGTGGATTCTGTTGCTTTGAAAGTCAAGCTCTAAAGGCGGAACGTTGAGTTGTAACGCAGCAGGCGTGAATCAGAGGACGAGACTGAAGAATTCGGGAGAGTCAGGAGTTCGGAGGTTGCTTGAAATTGTACTGTAATCGAAGTACCGCCGATTCTGGGGATTGTATGCCAGGAAATCAATCGCGTCACGATGGAGCGGATTCGGTCATTCAATTCGGAGCAGTCCAGTCGACGCGAGAAGAAGCGGAGCTGATCGTAGCATTTTAATCCACCTAAGACCCTGAAGCGATCATCGAAGATTCTGTGCTCGGAAGTGTGTAGTGTGCCCGGCAGAATCGCTGATTGAAAATAATTGCGCGTGCATGTGTGATTCCGTGTGCCGCGGACGATCGAATCAGTGCCATAAAATCAACGCTGACGTTCAGAATTTTGTTCCCGTTTTCGCGGCACGAATGGCCGCCGTACGGTCCGTACGCTCGGCGCGAGATGGAGTCGCCGACGGCAGCTTAACGTCGAATCGTTACTTCAGCGTTAACTCTTAACCGGTGATGGCCGTTCACATTTTCGTTTAGCGATCGCGATTCGCCTATTGTTACACGTATGTAAAATGAACAGAAATATTACTAACGATCCAAGTACGCGACAGAGCACGATACACCGAGACGTTAACGAATCGTCGAACGGAACGACTGTCCGACGTAATGGTCACCGGTTACGGGTTACTTAGTCTTCTCTTCTAATCAATCTATCCTGTCCCAGTCGCTATGTAAATACATCTAAAAAGATATTTATTGAAGTGTACACGAAAATTGTGAAATACAATGCTATTTATACGGAACCGCCCGTGATTGTCGTCATTTCCGTTCTCAAGAGCAACACCCACTCCCTGTGTATACCGTGCGAAACCGAAAAGTCAAACGGAATACGGATCGGTGAAACGGAGGTATAGGCCTCGTAAATTTAATGCCCCGATCTTGCGCGTTTTTGTGCCTCGCCACTGGAGATCGACGGAGCCAACGAGGATCGAGACCTTGCGCGCGCGCGCGTCCGCTCGCTCCGACGCGTACACGAATAAAACCCCGACGAACTCGATTTCGGCGAAACGGAATGTTTAATGCGGTCGCTCGTCGTTCGATTCGTCCCGTGTAATAATTTCTGGCCGTGTTTTGTCTGGAGGAGTTTTGTCATCGTCCGGGTTCGCCGTTTGTCGATGAAAGATAAAAATATGGAGAAACGATATTCTGTTTAGCTTAACGAAGACGTACAACAGCCTTCGACCGTTGAACGACGAGTTCATTCTTTTTTAGTTCGACTGTGTGTCCACTCGCTTCACCGTCCGCGATAAACTATTCCGACGTGTGTTTTATCTTGCTGAATTTTGCCGTCGCGAGTTTATCGTTCGCTCGACAGACGTGAAAATAAACTGCAAGGGAACGATATTCTTGTTACAAGCTAACGACAAAGTTATATCGTTATCGCGGTTCGAACTAGCTTCGAAAGAGCGTGTGATGTGTAAGGCTTGTCGAGCGCAACACGGCACGCAATAAAATGTCCCGACATGTACGGCTTTTGTCGCAGTTTGTCTGTCAGGATTCCGTCATCCGCGATCGTCCATTAGCCGAGTAAAAATTTAACGGTTCGCATTATCGTCGGAAGTTATGGAGCGGTAAAGACATAATCATACGATGTAACTCTATGTCGAAGTACCTTCGGCGTCCGCGATTGCAAAAATTCTACACTATTTCCTTCTAATTAGCCCCGCCGCTTTAATTTCACTATGTGTCAAGTAGCCGCTACTTCCGCGCGATTGGACATCTGAATGACACGTGATCCAAACAATTCACCCGCGGCTATTACTTCAGTAACATAGTTCATCTACAACTAGTTCCACGTCGAAATTAATATGTCTGTAGCTGCATTCGAAGAATTATCGCTTATCTGTAATCTACGACGATTATCACGAAGCCGTGGCGTGCATAAGAAACGCGGCTCGAGCGGCCCGACGTTAAAATGACGGGTAAGAAACGGCGGTGCCGCAAAGGCGCGAGATAATATTTATAATTTACATTCCGCTATCGATTGAATTTTTACCTGGAACGAGGAAGGTCTCCGGGAAACTGGAATTTAACCGCGACACCGTACGCAACATTCTAGAAGCGAAGTATCGCGGCATTATATCAAACCGCAGAATTCTATAGTATATCCAACGGGGAAAACCAAGGATGGAATTCTTTTCTCGCGACGGAATAGCACAGCGACCGATCTTCTTGGCAGGGCAACGTGGAAATCGCAGGAACAAGGAAACAAATTTCTAATTGTAATCGATTTCGACCGGCAGCCCGATGGGAACGTCCCCGTAACTGACGCAAACGCGCGCAAACCTGGCAGCTATTCAAACAACAATTACAAACATACGTGTTTGCCGGGCGTGCATCAGGGAAACTTCAAATGGTCTCGTGCGTGAAAACAGCTAATGGCGCGGAACTTCTGTTGAAATCCACTGTCGTGCGTTAACGAATGCCCATCGAGACTTATTACCGATCGAATCGATATTTCCTGTCTAACTCGCGGTTTAATTCGATAAATCATAATTGTCGGTTAAATGACTACGCAACGGAGCATATGAGCTCGCGGAAAAACGAGTCGGGCGGACTTAGACTACTGGTCTGCGGTTCCGCGACAATTAATTTGTTAAATCACCGGCATAATTATACGGGCAGTCGTGAATATTTCATGCGAGGCGCGCGAGGTATCTTTGATGAATATCTGACAGGTGTTGAAGTTTGATCATCCCTCGTTTAGCGCGCTGTGCGAAACGTCATACCGCGCTGGTCTTCTCGCGACAGCGTTTATTACTCAGAGTGGGTTTGTTAGTAACATTTTGCCGCGATTGATAGACCCGTAGGAATATTTAATTACTAGATTGCTTATGCCACGAGAACAGAGTCGAATGGAGTAGATCGATTAATTTAGATGGATCACCGTACATATTCAGTACTTTGTTGATCAATTACGAAACGTTCCGTACGCGAGACGAAATTGATTCGATGTCATAGATTTATCACGATTTTCGCCAGAGTCATGACCGGGTCGTGCGGTTTTCGTGCAATTAATAAAGTTCAGCGCGAAATCGAATAACATTTTTCACCGCGTACAAGCTGCGCGATTTCGTTTCTTAATAATTGTTGAATTTATGCGGGGCATTATCAATTACCAGATTTTATCGCTCGAACGCGCTAATTAAGGGTATAATACTAAAAATAATGTACCGTGACACGGTACGTACGCGTATCGTTTTCTGGCCAAGGCTCCCGGGAGAGTTACCGGCCGACTTTTGTTTTCTGGTATTTTTCTTTTTTACCTTTTCGCTGTCAAAGTAATAACCCGATAAACATGCAAATTTATTCACCCGCGTAATTTGTTGCACGCATGACTGCTTAATATTTAATCCGGGGAACGTTATGAGGCAGCGGCGATAGCATTCACGCTTGAAAAATTGTAAATTCGGCGACGATCTTGCAATATTGTCGCGTGCGTCGTTCGTCTCCGGTTTTAATTAGCGCGGGGAATGTTCGCTCCCCGAACACAGGGACGCTTATTTATTTCACGAACGATCGCAGCGATTCGCACGGGCTCGTTCGCCCGGTCGACCGGGCGCCTTCCTGTCGATCCCAAGATTAAATCGATCGCGTGAAGGCCGAGGTAAAGAGCTAATGGCACGCGAATTTTCGGTGAAAATTCTCGTTCGGATTAGGAGCTTATCGCTTCCCCGACATTCGCGGCGAGTGAATTTCCGTCCAAAGGAAACGGCGATGCGGCGAAAGAGATATGTCACTCGCGGGAAATATATTTCAGCAGGAAAGGGGTTGGCATTTGGATAATCCAGGTTAGCCTGAATTTCTAAAGACTCGGGAAACAGTTTAGAAAAAGATTCGATCGCGTGTAACCAGCTCGATCGCCCGATAACTTTGGCTCTCGGAAATCGATCTTAATCCACAGCTGTAAACCGAAGATCTGGCAAACCGAAGATCAGATCGATCCTCTCAATCCCGTGCTAAACCTATAGGTGATGTGTCTTCCTCTCCAACAACTGTATATTTTTCAACAGAGGTAAGAGAACGCGCGACTAACATGTAAACTAACATTCCAAACAACGTTGTATCTTCACCAAGGACCGCTAGACCTATCACACTTCTAAAAATTGTGCGCGCGAAACTCCGCGCGAGTAACAACGCGGATAATCCGGCGCGGAGTAACTCATGGCTAAACTCAGCTTGTCCCATCCCACGGAAAGCTCCAGAAATCCCCCGTACATCGCGGCGCGGTGTTCTTGGCTCCGAGGAACCCGATTTCTCGCGAACGAACGAGATTACGAAATCCCGTGGACCGAGGCGATGCGTGTCCGCGGCCCGGCAAAGGGGAAGCGTGGAACGTACACGGCCGCAGAACCGTCGAAGTTATCAAAGTGGCGAGAATCACGACGCGGCTCGCCGCACGAGGAGATCGGGCCGCGAGGGGAACAGAGAGGAGGAGAGATCGGAAGGCGAAGGGAGGGGAGGAAGAAGAGATCCAGACACGGTATGCTAATGAGGGTACCAGCTTCGCCTCTTTTTTGTCGCGGCGTTGTTGCGGGGCCTGTACAGATTCTATAGGTCGGGCCGCCTCTCACGATCCGGTCTTGAAGTTGGTCCTCGCGGCGGATCGACGATCGGAAACAAAGGCAGGAACCCGTGAAAACGGGCCCTTTCAATCGGCGGTAACCGATCGGCAAAGACATCGGGGGAAAG